CCTAAATCCCAGGCAGCCAGAAACACAGATGGGTGAATAACTGGGATTGCAATTTGGCTGTCAAAGGAAAAATACAAAATAAACCCTGGATCAAGCTTAATCCACCTTGCTCTGTTCTTACAAAAACTCCAAGCTAAAAGCTCCTGTTTCTATCCGAAAGGAAACACTTCAGGATCTTTCACAGGAATAGGAAAGCAAGGCAGGATTCTTCAAACTGGAGGTGGCAGATGTGTATGGGATACGCCTCAAAAATGATATGATCAGATCCATCACACATGACTCAGAACATGGGTCTGAAATAAGGTCAAGAAAGTAACTTTACTTGGAAATGGGAATCCTGGAATCACAGAACACTCTGAGCTGGAAGGGACCCACAAGGATCATTCCTTATACAAGTTTAAAGGTTGGACTTGATCTTGGAGATCTTTTTCAACCTTAATGATTCTGTAATTAAGAGAGAAGAGACCTCACTCCTTCAGTATATCCCAAAGGATGGCATATTCTTCCCAAACTCCAAGCTAAAAGCTCCTGTTTCTATCCCAAATGAAACATTTCAGGTTCTCCCACTGGAACAGGAGAGCAAGGCTGGATCTTCCACGTTGGAGGTAGAAGATGTGTGTGGGGTACTCCCCAAAAATGATGTGATCAGATCCATCATGTGTGTGAATCAGGACAAGGGTCTGAAATAAGGTCTTGGCTCTGCCAGGAAAGTAACTTCACTTGGAAATGGAAATTAAAGAATGCCCTGAATTGGAAGGGACCCACAAGGATCATTCTCTATGCTAATTTGAAAGTAGGACTTGATCTTGGAGGTCTTTTCCAATCTTAATGTCTCAATGATTAAGGGAGAACAGACCTCACAACAAAGGATGGCAGTGACAGACATGAGCTTCATCATCAGACGACTTAAAGACGGTCAACGCTGACATTTTTCCAGCAAGTTAACTAAAAATTTTATCCATGAGCATCCCAAAAATTGTGTTCCACCACAGCAGAACAACAGTGATTTGACATGGACTAGATCATGGCTTGACCCATGTTCCAGAAAGATCTCTCAGGCCACTCAACACCTCCACCTTCTGCTGCAGCAATGCACAGACTTTTAGAGGGCTAAAACAAGGATGCAGAAGCAAACAGGGACATTCTTCCTTCCCCATCCCTCCCAGAGACACCCAATTTATCTATCAATCCAACTGTGCCCCAAAATGCTCAGGTTTGCCATGAAAAACAGCTTTAGTTTCAATCCAGTTTCCTTTTGATTAGTTAGGGTTAGGTTTAGGCTTTGCATTACTTAGAGCATATTTAACACTTCAAACACAGCAGAAAACAAAACTGTTGAGAACAGAAAAGCCTTGAAAATAGGAAAGGAATCAAATGGAAACTCAGTGGCTCCAGAGCTCTGCTCTGGTCACCTACCAGTTAGGCTTTGCCTTGAGCCCCAGTGGGTGATGCTGAGGTGGTTACTCACTCCCAAAATAAAAGGCAAAAGGCTCATTTGGATCTCTTAATTCTCTTTGCCTAAGAGAATTAATTACAGGTAATTAACCCCTTAAACCTTTGTCTCTCAGCATCTTCAGCTGTTCATGCTGAGTGTGGAAATCCAACGGGATATGAAGTGGCTAAGAGGCTTTTCCAGCACTGCCCACAGAGCTTGCTGGAAGGAGTTAGTGGGATCTGAAGTGTGCCCAAAGCTGGGCAGATGAATTTTACAGAGCCAAATGATGTCCAGTTAGCACTGTTCCAGTCATCACTGCTCCAGTCCTGTCACCTACTCAGAGCATCCTCTGCCAGGATGTCATTTGGATGGTGACCCAAGACATGAAAACTCAGTGTGAAACTCTTATCTTGCCCCCTAAATCCAGCCAGCAGGTATGAGCCCAGCACAGAGGCATTTTAAAGGCACATTTCTCCCCAGGCACTGCTCAGTCTCACACTGAGCCTTGGGTTTGTGCCACTGGATTATAATTTGGAAAGTCTGATTTAGCCTTGTGGCTGTGCCACAGGATTTCTGTGCTGCTTCAGGCAAGTGACCTGATATTGCCATGCACAGAGTTGTAAAAAACAAGGCAGTAAGGCAATTTATCTAAAAGCTTGTGAAAAATGGTCTGTTAGCTCAACACAGAGTGCCCAGCAGTAAAAATAAGATGCAGAAAGTGTCCTTGTGCATTGCCAAATGTAGTTAGAACTCCCTGAAATCTTCCCTGAGATCCACTGCATTATCCCTGTGCAACCTGAATGCTAATGCAGAGCACACTTAACCAGAAATGGCTCCTGGGTGCAGCTTCCACACCCAAATTCACCTGTTATTAGAACACAAGTGTCACTTGCAGCACTCTGAATGAGGGTGAAACAGGGATAATCTGTCAGGATTTCACCCAGAACTTCACCTTTGTGCTGAACATCTACAGGTGAGGAAGGAGAGGGGACAATACCTAAAATATTCCAGTCATAACCCCATTATAAACACACACCCTCAAAAGGGATTGATTGATGTTGCACTGAAAGCAGAAAGAGGCTTGTCCACATCCTCTCCTGCTGCACCTGGAATGGGCAAGGAGACAGGAAAGAGAGGAAACATCTTTAACCACTGCAACAGAATTTATTAGAGGATATTTCTCCCATAATTTGTTCTTGGACTGATAAAGAACTCTGATATTATTTACTTCCTCAAGGACTAAGCCCTCCTGGAGCCACTTACATCCCACTGTGGAAAAAAACTCAAGCAGCTCCACAAGCTTAACTCCCACCTTTTATTTTGGTACCATTTAAGTTCCACACAAGCAAAGTCTTAGTAGTGAGGAACGTAATTCTCTCCCCATATTGTGCCTTCCAAAAAAACAGCTCCAGGCCATGGTTATTCCATGTGTCAGCTCAGATCAGCTGTCTGCTGATTACTATAGGCCATGGCCCAAAGCCATCCCATGAGCAAAGTTGGCATTTAGCACTTGGAATCAACAGTTCCTCAACAAAACAAGTTTGCTCTGACCTAACAGTTGTGATTTCCTGAGATGAAGCCATGAAAAAGGGTAAATAAACACTCAAGAGTCTATGGAAGTAGCAAAGGATTGAAATGGAACCATCTAGACCCTTCAACCACAGCCCTTAAGTCAATATTGTCACATCACTCCCACACTTGATGCCTTTGTGTCAATCCCAGTGAGGCAGTTCAGCCAGATGGGATTCTCAGGATTTGCAGGATTCTTCCTCCATGTCCAAGCTCAGGTAAAGAATACAGGTCAATCTGCCACAAACTCTGTGGTTTTAAAGACAAATGTCCCTTCAGGAAGTCTTGGTGAGGTCCTTTCCTCAGGCACCCAAATCACAACTGCAAATGCTCAGTGCTTCCAGCTCTAAGGAAGGAATTTGGTATCATTCAACAATTCCTGGTGCAAAGCATTGACATTCCTGCAAGTACTTTGGTGTTGAGGAGAGAAGAGCAGCAACTATTTGCTCAGCACAGATTCCTCTTACTTCTCCAACTGTCAAAGTTCTGCTGGAGTCACCCAGATCACAATGACGAGGGAAAGCAGAGGAATCCTTCTGGGTGTTGGGATTCCTTTTGCTTGTGGAAAAACAAGTGCTTGCACTACAGATCATCAAAGAATGAAAGATCCCAATCCTCAGGAGAAAAAAGTGCTCAGGAAAACACTAATCATCAGCATAATGACCTCAAACCCCTTTAAATGATGAAGTGTGAGGGAACAACTATCTGTCTTCAAAGCTTTGCAGCTGTAACTGTTTTCCCTCCTCACTCCCTAAATTCCTTGCAAATGTGATTAACCATCATCCTGCTCATTCCCAAACACTTAATGTCTTACTCAGGTCTAGTTTCAAGACCTTCACCACCTTGTGCTTCCAAGGATTCAAATCCCTTTGGATGGCCTTTACCATGATACTTCCCTTGACCTCAATCCCAAACCTCCACACCTTCCAAATCTGCTCTTACCAGTAGGTATTTCCCTCTCCAACCACATCTTCCTTCACTTCCACATCTATTACAGCTTATCTTTAAAATGCTTAATGACTGGAATGATGATGAAGGAGGTCTGACTGTTAGGGAACAGGTGGTCAGGAATTCTTGAGAAAAATCAGGCCAATTCATGGCCTGTCAGGTTGGGACACAGATCTTCTCCACAGCTTTGAGGCCTCATTTAGAGGAACAATACCAGACTGGATTCCTTTAAATATATATCTTTTTCCTAGTAAAATCTCCAACCTATTTCCCTTTTCTTAATTTCCTGCCCTGCAGATTGATTTCCTAACTACAAATTGTCTCTGTGTGTTTATAAAGCATTTTGTGGATGTTTCTGGAATAGAACTGTTACTCCTTAAGCCCCAGAGAAGAAAAGAAACCTCAAAGAAACCCCCCAAAACACTCCCCAAAAGTTGAAAATGATATAATTTTTAGGCTTCTTAATCCTCAAAATAAGCAGGTTAAAGGTAAGGATTTTCCTGGGGTCATAATCCTTGATATCTTTTGCTGATAATTCCTGATTTGTACAGAACAGTTAAAAACAAACAGAAAGTTCTCAGACTATTTTCATCACAGGTTTGAGGAACTTTTTAAATATTCCCAAAGAAATTTCCTTGGAGGAATGTTTGAAGACAAAGATAATGTTTCTAATGATGAAACATCATTAGATGTGTGTGAGGAGGGAAGCAGAGGGAGTGAATTAGCAAATTGATCTCAATTTCTACCTGTTTAAGCTCTTTTGCTTCTTCCTGGGAGACCTTCTCATGCTTTTGCAGCTGGACCTGGTCCTTATCCATACCTTCTGTGCTTCCCACCGGAGAGCCAGGCTGCACCACTCCTCCCAGGAGTCCTGTGGCTGTAAGAGAAACTCCCATGGTCAGACTGTCAACCTCTGATTAGAGATAAGGAATTCTTCCCTGTGAAGGAAGAAAAGGTTGCCAGGGAAGCTGTGGCTGCCCCACCCCTGGAAGTGTTCCAGGCCGGGTTGGATGGGGCTTGGAGCAACCTGGGCTAGTGGAAGGTGCCCGTGCCAGGGGTGGAACAAGATGAGCTTTAAGGTCCCTTCAAACTCAAACCATTGCATGATTCTGGAGCACCTCTGCTGGGAGACCTGAGGGTATTCAGCCTGGAGAAGAGAAAGTTCCAGGGAGACTTTGGAGCTCCTTCCAATGCCTAAAGGGGCTCCAAGAGAGCTGCAGAGGGACTTGGGACAAGGGCCTGGAGGGACAGGACAAAGGGGAATGGCTTCCCACTGCCAGAGGGCAGGGATAGACGGGATATTGGGAAGGAATTCTTCCCTGAGAGGGTGGTGAGGCACTGGCACAAGTTGCCCAGAGCAGCTGTGGCTGCCCCATCCCTGGAAGTGTTCCAGGCCGGGCTGGATGGGGCTTGGAGCAACCTGGTCTGGTGGAAGGTGTCCCTGCCCATGGAGGGGGTGAGACTGGATGAATTTTAAAGTCCTTTCCAACCCAAACTATTCTGGGATTCAAAGTTCTCCCACTTAAGCAAGCACCAAAGAGGAATCATAGAATTTTAGGGGTTAGAATGGACCTGAGAGATCTTCTAGTTCCAACCCATGCCCTGGGCAGGGACACCTCCCAACAGACCAGGTTGCTCAAGGCCTCATCCAGCCTGGCTCTGAATACTGCCAGAGTTGTGCATCTACCGTGTGCCAGTGTCTCAGCAGCAAACTGTACCACAGCCACCTGGGTGCACTTGCCCTGAATCAGCAGAGGACAATGACAGGAGGTTTTACATACCTGAGGTCAGAGATCCTGTCAGATTCCAGAGCTCAATGCCAGCTCCAAGCGCTGGCGCCCACTGCCTGGCTAAGTGTCAGCTCTGGATAGCATTACTTCCCCAGGAATAGGGAGACAAAAGCTAAACCAGAAGCCCCAAACCCTAAATCCCTCTCAAGTAATTACTACAAACTCCTAATCCCTGGAATTATTTGGTTATCAGCCTGAGAGTCACTGGACTCAGACACCATCAAGGTTGAAGACAAGGAAGTCTTTCACTGTGCTAGTGTTACCCTGTGTAAACACTCCTTGTTTTCCAAGGGGGAAGAACCAGTTACTGAAAACTGAGTGTCCTGGTTTCCCTCCTGGGACAAAGTGGGGAGGGAATACTAGAATTCCTTCTGCCAGCAAGCAGCCAGACAAGATTCCTTGTGTTTCTTAGATATCATCTGAGTGTCACCATATGATAATAATACCATTAAAGGCAATTAATGTATTCATCTCATTCCATTGATCTCACTGAGGACAAGGAGGGACATGAGAAAAGCACAGAAAAACATTGAGATGAGGAAGTAAAAATGGTATTTCATAGGAATTTTATGGGAAAATAATGGAACAGAAAGGCAGAAACACTTAAAGAGCAATTTGGCTTCATTTGTGTTCCACTCACTGTCACCACATGAAGACAAAATGAACCTATGAAGACTCCAAACCTGTGAACAAAGTGCTGAAAACCCAAAATAATGAGGAAATTCAGTCACAGGAATAAGCAGGAAATATTCAGCAGCCTCTAAAGGGCTAAAAATACCTGTGAATGCCAAGACTGAGCCCCAGGACTGAGCCAGCACTGCCCTAAATTGTCACACTGGAGGATTTCTTGTGCTCTTTAATCCTTGGGAGCTGTTTTCAGCTATTACTGAGGATGGAATTGGCTAAAAGCTGTTACAAACCAAAGCTCAGTGCTCTGTCCTGAGCATTTAAACACTCATGTGGGCTTGGGCCAAAAAAATACAGGCAGAAAAGACATGCAAAGCAGCTAAAAATACTTGGAGATAATCTGGTGTGTATAAAACTCTTCATAAATTCCTATTCTAGGTGGAATTAAGCCAAAACTCTTAGGAAAAATGATTTTGGGGGGGGATTTACTTATATAAATGTGTGATATAACTTTAGGGCAGGATTGGTGTAAACAGAGAGGATTCAGGTGAAACTGTGACAGCTGGGGCAATGTTTATGTCTCTGAGCTGCACCACTCAGGGCAAAGAACAGAGTTTGGAGACAGCTGGACCACCCTGCAAGGATATTCCTGCTATAAATCTCAGAATCCATTCACTCTCTGAAAACAGAAACATATATTTTGTGTGCACAGAAGCTAACAGGCACAACACTGACTTTTTTCCCCTCCTGCTTTTAGGAAAAAGCACAAAAAATGCAACAAATCAATGTTTTCATGGCAAAATCCCAGGGCTTCACACACAGTCCAGGAGTGCCATCTTGTGACAGAGGAGAAACTCCACGGAAGGAACAAACAAGGGGTTTGGTACAGCTGGAAAAGTCAAGATTTCCAGTTTGCTTTGCTCTCATTTCCAAATGAAACAGGGAAAATGCAGGTGGAGAGAGGAGAGTAATGGCTTTGCCTCACTGACTCACAGCAAAGTGGGAAGTGAAGCCCAGGAGGGCTGAGAACCAATTGTTTGATGTAAGAAACCTTAAGAGCATCAGGAACTGAGCAGCAATTTGCTGGAATAACTCAGTGCTTAAGGAAGCAGCAGGTTGTTTGCCCTCTAAGTTGTTGTGTTGACATTCCAGTGCCAAATGCACTTCCTTCCTTCCAAATTAATAACCTTTTCCAACAACTCACTTCACCAACTCTCACTGCTAAGCCCAGTTTTAGTCTGGTGCCTAGAAATACGTTTATCTATTGTTTTAGTCCATTTTCCCACTTTTTTTTTTGACATCCTGGCAATAAATCCATCCATTGATTTGCTCCTTTGTCAGGAACAATTAAGGAAAAAGAAAGCATTCAGGGGCACTGATAGGGATAAATTCCTAACTGACAAAAATTCAGTTCTCCAGATGAATTCAGGGTTGGATTACAAAATAAACCCCCCCCCAAAAAAAAAACCTCCATGGAATTTTAGAGGAATTAATAGGAGTAAGGAATGTCAATGTTATTGTTGTGAAAGGGTTTCAGTCCCCACAGTGGTTTCTTCAAGTGGTTCAACTATGAATTTAATCAATCTGAGACCTAAAATCTCCTAAATCCAACACCTCAACTTCTCAAATAGCAAAATCCTAATTTTTTTAAGATAGAAAGATGAACAGGATGCTTATTCCATGTGTTATTTAAAATCTTGGACTGAAAATTTGAGTGCGGCTTTCTATACTGAACTAAATGACAGGTTTAAGCTAAATCTACTTCCAGCTAGGAACTGCCGAAGGAAAAACAACAGAGACACAGGAATAAGAGGGTTTGGAGTCACCTGGAGGTTATTCCTTGCATTTTGTATCATTTTTATAAAGATTATACTCCATTCTGAGTTTGGAAAGCACTTGGAAACTCTTGGAGCTGCTCACGGATGGATTGTGTGACATACCTGCCTGCCAAATGGAGGTGCCCAAATCCACCTGAGGAGACTTCCTGGCACCACCAAATCCAAGGGCATCTTCTAAAAACTGGATCTTCTTGCTAAACTGCATCTCCAAGATGGGAATGACTTCTGGCATCTTGGCTGACAAGAGCCTGTAAGAGGTGTCAGGTCTCCCAATAAACCTCTGCCGGACACTGATTTCATAGGGAGTGTGAACTCGGATATCATCCACATCCTTCGATTCAAACCTGTGAATCAACTGGGAATTGCAGTCACTGATTTCCAGGCCAGAAGCAAAAAGGGTGAATTTTCCTGGCTTGACATTTGAGTCTGTTCTGTGGGTGATAATAACTGGAATTCTACTTAGGATTCCTTCCTGGTTCTTCGAATTGGAAACCGTGGCAGTTTCCTTTGGCTTAACTTCCAAAGGTCCTTTCCAGAACATGCTGCTAAATGGCCACCAAGAAGGAGACTCCAGCTCAGTCAACAACCTAGCAGAGAGAGGAGAGTGTTAGAAGAGGGAAAACCAGTGGGAATGTTGTCCTATCCCACCAGTTCAAAGCAAATCACCATAGACACAGAGATTCCTTAACACTGAATCCAACCTGCTCTTACGTTGCTCCTCAGACCTATTCAGAGCTTCCCAACATCTATCCCTTTCAAAATCCAGCTTCTCCTCACTTGCAAAACACTCCCAGAATCTCACTGTTGTGATCCAGAAGCTGAACTTCTAACAGGATTTATTCAAGCCAATTTCCATGTGTCTGTTCCTCAGCTCACGCTTCCTTTGGCCTCAGCCTTTCCTCTCCTCACCATCACCACTGCCTTCTGCTGCTCCTTTATGCTCCAGCCCCACAGTCTGAGGCCACTTTACACTTTGCTCCACACCCAAATTCCCAGTTAAAAGACTCAAAATACCAGGTGGAGTCCAGCAGAGACTTCCCACCAGCATTCAGAGTCCACCTGGACATTAATGTTGGTGCAGCTCCTGAGGGAGACTTTTTCCTCCTGGCAAACTGGTCTCTTCAAATCAATAGTCACTTCCTGGAGGAACTAAGCTACTTCCC